CAGAGTCTGAGCCAGAACCAGAGTCTGACCCAGAACCAGAGTCTGAGCTAGAACCAGAGTCTGACCCAGAACCAGAGTCTGAGCCAGAACCAGAGGAGAATGAAGACCATTAAACTGGTTAGTTGGTCAATTCACACTGTAAACACTGTGACGTAACAGTTCAGAAAATATAAAAGGAACAAAGAAAACTGAACAGGTTGAAATATCTGACCCAAACAGAACATAAATATATCTTTGCAGCATCAGGAGACTAAATTAAACTTTTCTGCACTCCTAGAGACTCCAAGTTCAACAAAATGTATTTAATGGATAAAAAGGGGATTTTGCATGATAATATAAAATGACCTGATAATCAGGTGTAATGGTATTTTTACTGAGCTTTAGAGGGCAGACAGTACAGACAAATGTGATTAACTTCAGTTCAGCATTTTGACAAAAGATGCAACTTGTGAAAAACTGTTGTGTAGAAAGAATAAAACTATGGGATCTCTTCAACCTGAGCTGTAAAGACATACGTAGAAGTAGAAAAGCTGCGTTAACATTTTCTCTAAACTCTGTTTGTCATCTTAGTTAACAAGAATTCAGACGACTTTATGAATATACACAGATATGCTCCTGTAGGTATTAACCCACTTTTCTGTTACCTGTTTAGTTAATCTCATTAAACCTGTGAAACTGGACAGGACGCATGATGAAAGTTTTAAAAACACTTTAACTAAATAAAATGTTATTGTTTCAGCTGAGAGTGAACCAAAGGGATGAGAATAAATAAATCACACAGCTCATCCAACCATGAGGGGAAAAATCCTGCTTAACTTTTAAATTAAAGCTGAAAATGTGTCACATGATGAGTTAATGTGAAGTGAAGTGAGGAAAATGTTTGTTGGATCTCACCTTACATCCCTCACAGGTGATGACTCCATAATGCACTCCAGAGGACTTATCACCACAAATCTTGCATGGGATGACTTCAATCTGAGCTGAAAACACAGAGAAGCAGAAGAAGCTGGTTTATCAAAGCTCTTCTTGTCCTCTTCACTCCACATGGGCGACACAAGAACTCAGAGCCCAAAGAAACAACAAAAATCATCATCATGTTCCGTCTCAAGCACATATCACAGATCTACTACAGTCTGTGTGCAGTTAGTCAGGCCTGTGTTCTGCTGAGATACATGATGCTTAGATACATGATGGTTAGATATATGATGGTTAGATACATGATGCTTAGATACATGATGGTTAGATACATGATGGTTAGATACATGATGGTTAGATACATGATGGTTAGATACATGATGCTTAGATACATGATGGTTAGATACATGATGGTTAGATACATGATGGTTAGATACATGATGCTTAGATATATGATGCTTAGATACATGATGGTTAGATACATGATGGTTAGATACATGATGCTTAGACATATGATGGTTAGATATATGATG